TATATCCTGATGCATGCTCAATAGTCCAGTATATCCTGATGCATGCACAATAATCCAGTATATCCTGATGCATGCTCAATAATCCAGTATATCCTGATGCATGCTCAATAATCCAGTATATCCTGATGCATGCTCAATAGTCCAGTATATCCTGATGCATGATCAGTAATCCAGTATATCCTGATGCATGCTCAATAATCCAGTATATTCTGATGCATGCTCAATAGTCCAGTATATCCTGATGCATTCTCAATAATCCAGTATATCCTGATGCATTCTCAATAATCCAGTATATTCTGATGCATGCTCAATAGTCCAGTATATTCTGATGCATGCTCAATAGTCCAGTATATCCTGATGCATTCTCAATAATCCAGTATATCCTGATGCATGCTCAATAGTCCAGTATATCCTGATGCATGCTGAATAATCCAGTTTATCCTGTCTGGTGTAGGAATGCCTTGAAATGGTCGAGGAGAGTCTGGAGGAGAGTGTCACTGCTTTAGAGGATGTCTGGATTTCCCTCCTGGATGATCTTTGCAACCTAATCATGAAGAAATGGAAGAAAATTACTCATTTCTGAAGTGTCATCATTGATGAATGCTCAATATTTTGATCTGCCCTGATCAATAGTAATCAATGAAAATCATAATACATCCTACATGTTACTATATTTTGGAGTGCCAGTAAATTTGAGCTGTTTTCTATATTTGTAACTGAAATTTCAAGAATCCCAAGTAATGTATATTTTATATTTTTGTAAATGATTTCCTAAATGTACTGTAATTATATTCCAAGGTCAAAATACTTCCGAAGCAGCACGACAGGAGAACATTATACAATAGAGGTACGAGTTCTCTCACCAGTGCTTTTGTTCATTTTCACTCTGCTTTTATCTCATGGTGCCGTTTTAATTTTGCAGTTTGAAAATCTGGTAGAAAGTGATGAGGTGAGTCTGATTTTATATTTTAAAACTTTTAATATGCAGAATACGTTTAACAACTTGTTGCATTTTCTTTTGGGTTTTCATTGTTCTGGTTTCTATGGCCCGGTTTGGACCGGCTGAGTGTTGAAATGAAAGCAGGACTGTACAGGTACTGTCAGGGGACTATAATCAGTTTCCCCCTGGGCACTTAAATTTAGATGAATAGAAAATAATATTATGCACTTATCTGTGCACTGAGATGGCAGCCATCCATTTTTCTTTCAGAGTAACTTGATTGTTGTGTGAGACAAACGATGCAGCACATTAGATTAATTTGACTGTGACATGTTGTTTGTTGCTTTTCAGGCCGAGAGCCCACAGCCCTGCCCCAGGTACGAAATCTGCTCTCTGTGGTCCCTTCAGCCCTAAAGGGATACTTTGCTCATTTTAAATAGGGGTTCTGTGAAAAGATTATCAACAGTTAATATCTTACCTGTTGTAGACAACCTTTAAACAACCTCAGTTTGAAGAAATAGACTTTAATTCTGATTGGATCAACAAAGTAATGGCTCATTCAAATTCAGCCAACACCAAAATGGATTGATGATGTCTTCAAACAACTCCACTCTCATTACCTTCATTTTTCTTCACATTATTTCATTGACTTTTACACTGTTGCTTGTTTCTCAATACAGGTTTTACATTTTTTACTTACAACTGGTTATTTGCAGTAACAAAAAGCACAATATTTAGAAAATGTCTAATGGACCAAATACCTTTTTCCATCCAGCATTCCAAATACAGGGACAGGGACACAAACAACACCTGTTTGTGAAAAGAGGATACATCCTAATGCTGCTCAATAATCCAGGTAGAAAAATCTAAAAAAGTTCAATCTGGTCCTCTGGACATTCAAAAAACAAAACAAAGCAAAAAAAATGTAGATACGTTTCGTCTCATCCGAAAGACTTCCTCAGTCTTAGGTGCTGTATTCAGCTCCAGGTCAGAGGTCACTCTTTCAGGGATGAAGATGTTCACATCCTGGACAGAGAGGAACGATGGTTTGAGAGAGGAGTAAAGGAGGCCATCTTTGTGAAAAGAAATCGTCCATCATTAAACAGGGGTGGAGCCTCCGGGTTCAATTGTCCCCCTCTTACAATGCTGTGATTGCTAGTATCACTCAGCCCTCTGTGAACAGTAAACAGCCATCAGGTGCTAATGATCCATTGTTAGGCTGATGGTCCTTCTTGATCATGTGATCAGCTGGTTTTGGTTGTCAGCAGCAAAACTGGTTGATCCACTCTGAGAAGGTGCTATTTAAGAGACTGAGCTGAATACAGCACCTCAGACTGAGGAAGTCCTTTGGATGAAAGATGTAACGTTTCTAGATTTTTTTGCTTTTTGTTTTTTGTTTCTTTGAATGTCCAGAGGACCAGATTGAACTTTTTTAGAAAAGAGGATACAGTTGCTTAACAGGGAGTCTGTTAACAACAAAGTCACATCTAAGAACAAAATCTATGCCTCCAATTTTTTTAAACAGACCTTTGTGAAGACAATACCAGATACTATTTCCATTCAATAAAAAAGATTTCAACCAGTTTATTTTTAGGGCCGCATTTAAACATTCAAAGTCAATGTCTTGTAAACCACCATCTTTAAAGTCTCTGACCATGTTTGCTTTCTTTAAGTAGTGGACTTGATTTTTCCAAATGAAATTAAAGTTTAACTGATTTATGACTTTAATGTATTTGTTGGGTATGGCCATAGAATATGCAGGGTATATACATCTAGACAGTGATTCCATTTTGGTCATACAGGTTCTCCTGAACAGTGTCAGATCTCTTTGAAGCATCTATTTAACGGGGATTTTCAGTTCTGGATTTTATTCTCTGGTAACAGTTTCACTGAGTTTAGCATCTTCAGTTATTCCAAGATATTTCACTGAGGATTTAATGGGAATGCCGTAAGCTTCTGTGAGATTAGAGTCATGAATCGCCATCACTTCACTTTTCTGTAATTTAACGTTACCATACCAATTTATTTATATAGCACTTAAAACAGCAACAAGGCCAACCAAAGTGCTGTACAAAAGAAAACAAACTTGCACAGCAGACAGGAAAACATAAAATAGAAATACAGATACAAATAGCAGCAGAAGCTAACTAAAATGGCCAACAGAGTAGAGTACAGACCGGACCAAAACAAATCACACCGTGTTAAAGGCAAGAGAATAGAAGTGGGTCTTCAAGCGAGACTTAAAGACTGAGAGTGTGGGAGCCTGCCGGACACTCAGTGGCAACTCATTCCACAGTCGTGGACCTGCAACAGAGAAAGCCCTGTCACCTCTGAGCTTACGACTGGTTTCTGGGACTGAGAGAAGCATCTGGTCTGCTGACCTCAGAGAGCGCGGTGGGACATATGGCTGCAGAAGATCAGTGAGATAGGATGGGGCGGAACTGTTCAGTGATTTAAAAACATACATGAGAATTTTGAAATGGATCCGAAGGTGAATGGGTAGCCAGTGCAGGGAGGCCAAAACTGGCGTGATGTGCTCTCTATAGCCTGTACCAGTTAAAAATCGGGCTGCAGCATTTTGGACCAGTTGTAGACGAGCAATGGAGGACTGACTGATTCCAAACAGAAGTGAATTGCAGTAATCAAGCCTAGATGTTATGAAGGCATGGATCACTGTCTCAAGGTTCTTTTTGGAGAGTATAGGCTTCAGCTTAGACAGCCGTCTCAGCTGAAAAAACAGGATTTGACCATCATTAACCAACGTTAACCCTGATGCTTTGGAAAATCTGTTAATTAACTCAAGAACTTTCGGGGGGTTGGTCTAGGCTCTTCAAAAAAATTATGGTGTCGTCAGCTAGTTGACTGATTATAATTTGGTCATCATAAACGTTCAGTTTTGGTATATTTGACTTTTTTATGAAGACAGCCATCACTTCAACGGCCAGGATGAAGAGGAAGGGGAAATATTGCAGCCCTGTTTTACTCTTCTATTACCGTATTTTCTGACGGACACGTCGCTCCGCCCTATAAGTCGCATCAGTCCATATTTGTCTAACGAAGTGGAAAAATCCATAAATATGTCGCTTCGCCGTATACGTCGCATTTATTATGCATCACCGCTGACAACCTGGAAATGTGGACCGGTGTTGTGCCGAAAACGAATGGGCCACTAAATGGCGACCGCAGGAGTGTGCACGGGAGGACTTTAACAAGAATTTAACAAGATTAACACTTACAATTATTTGTTTGCTCGAAATTATATTAAAATGTGTATCGATCTAACACGTTTGCTTAATAAATGTACTTTAAAGGTCAAATGAGCTGTATTTAAAAATAGTTTGCTGCCTCGGGTCTCGCAGTAAAATCACACAACGCAGCGTTCTTTTCACAGATCAGAGCAGGTTTCTCTAAAGATGACCAACGCTTACTTTAACTTTCGACGGGGGAAACAATAATAATTTGACGGAACACAGAATTTTGCGCATGCGTCCCAATACGACAACACTACGGCAAGCCGGCCGTAGTTAGCTTGTAGCTTCGCTACTTAGCTCTCGGAGAAAAGACTTGAACACTATTTACACAGTTTTCAACTCAAAAAAGTAACGATTAAGCTGACAACTGACTTTACTTCAGACACAGCGTTACTGCGGTTAGCCACTAGAAGACAGATCTCTATCGTAGGCTAAATGTCTACTGTTTCTACCGTGCACCGAATGTATCGCACATTCCTAACTCTAGTCTTAGCTTGTGCAAACTAGCTGCTAGCTTGGGTCCCGTCACACTTGAACTCAGTTTTTCTCCAAGTTGAGGTTGCTCTAAAAGCTATCTACATCAGGTGGGGGGGTTGTTTGTTCAGAACGTCTTTACAGAGCGTCACTTTGGTAAAATGGTCATAATTCCTTTAAAGCTTTGAGTTTTTCATATCTTCTCATTCTCTCATCAGGCCCATCGATGAAGATGAGCTCAAGCACCTCAAAGAACATCGTTACGCTGCAATCTCAGACAAGCAGGTCCTGATCGACCAAAAGATACAAGCTGAGGTAAGGTCAGGTTTCCCACAAGAATCTGTGTCTCTTAGAGTACCAGCCTCCATTATTTCATTTTATGTTTCGACTTGTTTTGGCTTACTTTTTTATTTGCTTCATTATGGTTCTTTTCTGTTTTGTAAATTTCTGTTTGTTTTAATTTTGTTTCTGCTCAGTTAGAGGCGCAAGAGGAGAAGTTGAGGCTAGAAGAGGAGGCTAGAAATGCCGGTCAGCGCGAGGCCGCCAGGCTGGCTCGTGAACGAAAACTGAAGGAGGTGAGGCAGCACTGAGCGCTCCCTTCAACCAGTTTACCGCTCGGCTAAAGTCACTTCTCCTCTAACCTGCTGTCCCTGTAGGTGGGCAATTGCAGCATTTCAAGTCCTCAGCCTTTTGTGTTGCTGTGGTACTTAGTGATGTGTAGTTTTTTTATTTCTCTTCAGGCACATAAGTATCTGTCACTTACCACAAACCACTTACTAGTACCCAAATTTCTACAAATTACCACTTTTCATGTACTTAGTAGTTAAAGAAAACATTTTACTCTCAAATGAAGAAATGTAAAAATGTTAATCCAGTTACATTTAAAGATAATTATTGACAAATTCAGTCTGATAAATAAATTATCAATGAATTATTATTAATTAAATAAATTTATCTGACAATAAAAAGTCTAGTTGTTGCTTATCTCATGATTAAAATGGTTGTTTTGCATCACAACATCTGGAAAAAACAACAACTTTTAATGGCAATTTTAAAACAAGTTTTACAAAAGTATAAAACTAGAAATGCTGAAAAAATATTAGTTTGACTCTCACCTTAATGTAATACTACAATATGTAGTTTTATATCAAATTAGAAAAATAAGAATATTTTTGGACTTATTAACATTTTTGTTTATGAAGGGTCACTACTGTTTTTTTCCAAAAATCTAAATGACATATTTTTTGCCCTATAAGGGGCCGTTTACACGACACGTATTTAGAGTGCATCCGCAGCTTTCTCTCTGCGGTTCTGTTCATTTACACGACACCAGTGGCCCCCTCTTTGAATCCAGAGGTTTCTGAACCCACCTCTCAGAGTGGAGGTTTTCGACTGACATCATGTAAACATCTCCCGCTGAGGCTTTGTGTTACACCACATGCGCACGCGCACACGCGGACAGACGCTATATTTCTATCAACAACATGGCGGCGGACACACTTCTTTCTGAGCTACAACTGATGGAATATATTTTTAATCTCGTATTTAAGTTTTCATTTTTAAATTTTTCATTCATTTCAATTTTATTTTAATCATCTTTGGGCCACAGCGAGAAAATCTGACTCAGACACTGATTGGTTGAGTTTTTAACAGATGAGGAATAAATGTACAACTGCTGTCAAAGCAGCAAAACGAAACTATTTCTTATCTCAGACCTCCAAAAATCTAAATGACCCTAACAGATTCTGGAAAATCATCAAATCTCTCTCAGGCACCCCCCAATCATCTGACCTCCCATCACAACTTCTCGTTAACTCTGTTCCTGTGTCAAATCAGCACGAGATCCTGAACTGTTTCAACAAACATTTTGTTGCTTCTGGTTCTTTATTTGACACAGTTACTAATGGAAAATCAGCCACTTCACTTAATAACCAAACTTCTACAAATCAAATCTCTCCTACAAGTCGATCCTCAGCTTCTCTTTTTCTCCATTCTCAGTCAGTGAGGTCAATAAACTGTTAAAAGATCTTGATCCTAAAAAATCTGCAGGTCCAGATGAACTTCCACCTTATTTCTTAAGGCTGGCTGCTCATATCATCACAGTCCCTGTGACCCACATCTTCAATCTCTCCATAAGACAAAACTCCATCCCAGACACTTGAAAACAGCCTTTGTTCTTCCTTTGCTGAAGGGAGGTGACCCCACCTCACTGAACAACTATGGACCAATCTCTAAACTCTGCATTTTAGTCAAGGTTCTAGAAAAACTATAAACTCTCAAATCAAAGATTACCTGGACTCATTTAACATCTTACCTCCACATCAATCTGGTTTCAGGAAACAACACAGCACAACCACTGCTTCACTGAAGGTTCTTAATGACGTTGTTGAAGCACTGGAAGCTAAAGATTATTGTGCTGCACTTTTCTTAGACCTGTCTAAAGATTCTGACACTGTGGATCAGAACATCTTGTGTCATAAACTCTCAGAAATCGGTTTCTCAGAACACACCATTAGTTGGTTCTCTAACTATCTTTCAGACCGGAGGCAATGTGTTCAACATAATGGTACTTCCTCCAGTTATTTAACAGTCAACAATGGTGTACCACAAGGCTCAGTCTTAGGACCCACCCTCTTTAAAATCTACATACATAATGTAGGTAAAAACATCCCTAATGCATCCATACATTTCTATGCTGATGACACAGTTGTTTATTGCCGAGCTAAAACTGTTGCTAAGGCTTTCCAGCTTTTGAAATCTGCATTCAACATCATCCAGACAGATTTGTTCCACCTCAAACTTGTCCTAAATGCCGAAAAAACCAAAGGGATGTTTTTTTCAAATAGGAAGTTGGTCCCAGCAGTTCTTCCTCCGATTTTATCCTCAAATAATAATAATAATAATAATGTCATCACAATGTCAGCACTGTATGTTTCCATACAATGGCGAAATTAGTCTCTGCATTTAACCCATCCACCACCAGGTGGTAAATGGTGTCCCCATTGAGTTTGTTGATTCCTATAAATATTTGTGCATCTTGGTCGACTCACATCTCTCTTTTAAGCTCCATGTGGAAAACTTGATAAAGAAACTGAAAATTAAACTGGGTTTCTTTTTCAGAAACAAATCCTGTCTAACCCTGAATGCTAGAAAACGCCTTGTATCTGTGACTTTCCTTCCCTCAATTGATTTTGGTGATATTATTTACATGAACGCTCCTACAAGAACCCTGCAGATGTTGGATGCTGCAGATGTTGGATGCTGCAGATGTTGGATGCTGTCTATCATGGTGCACTAAGATTCATAACTGGCTGTGATTATCGTACCCACCACTGCACCCAGTATTCACTGGTTAACTGGTCACCATTAACTTCACACAGACTCTCCCACTGGTACATTTTCATCTTTAAATCACTTCTTGGTCTGCTGCCTTCATACATCTCCTCCTACATGTCTCTGTGTGAGTGCAGCTACAGCGTGCGCTCTCAGGACATTATTACCTGCAGTGTTCCCTCAGTGAGGACTGAACTAGGCAAAAGGGCCTTCTCCTACTCCGCTCCTGTTTCCTGGAATATCTTATAAAAAGATTTGAAGCTCTCGACCTTTGACCTCTCTAAGTGGCTTTAAGAATCTGTTGGACTCCTGGCAGGGACCAATGCAGACATGTTCCTGTTTTTAGTTTTCTGTATTCGCCTTAGAATCTAGCTGTTTTTTGTTCCTTTTTTTGCCATTTTATTTGTAAAAAAAAAAGAAAATCTGTATGCCTCTTGTAGATGAACATATACTGTGATATATTCATAAATTAAACGGATTCTTTCATTTTTCTGGACTGAATAATATCGCGCATTGAATAATTAAATGTAACGTGAGACGTTAATTTTCTTTGACCCATCAAATGAATGCGGTCATTTATTAACAGAATCAAAGTTTAACATCAAACATTTACATTAATTTGGCAAATTGATTTCAACAACAACATAATTAATTAGCAAGCTTTACAATTAGGAAAACCATACGGCCATGATTTCCTCACTTCAAGCATTACAACAGACATTTCTGAAAATATCTGGATTAATTACCAGCTAGATAGAAGAGTTTAAAGATGGAAATGAAGTTTAAATTGAGAGAGAAGATGGATGAGGGGTTGTTATGTGTCGGTATAAGAACGGCACTCTCCATCCGAACCCAGTTTCGCCCCGGTACGCTTCGGTAGGAAATCGACTCGTTACCTCTCTGAAGATGAATCAGCTGGTACGGAGTTCCATTTAACGCTACCATTTCCAGCGTCTCCGTAGGATGGTTGGGAAACGTCCGGAGTAGTGACGGTACTTAGTGCAGCACACGTTCACCTCTCGGTTGGGCTCACATGAGTTGTGAGTCCGTCAGAGGCTCCACTCAGATGTGGAGGATTGCATAATTCCCACAAGACTCGGAAGAACTGCGGATCATGTCTGAACCTCCTGTTCTCTCCAGCACTTTTTCTGTTCGGTTTTGCTCTCCGAACTGAACTGCTCTCCCACCGCACTCTCTGCACTCTACTGCACACTACTGGAACTAGGAAGTGCAGACATTTAAAGAGTTCTGTTTCCGGTTCATTTGGGAAGTCCTGATGGGCCGAAATAGCTAATCAGGGGTGTGTTTTTGTGACGTAAGAGGTCACTAGAAGTCAGAAAAACAGAAAAATTGTTTTGGAACAGACAGAAGATGTTTTTGAGACAGACGAGAGAAATGTTTAGGCGAGTTAGGGGAAAACAGGTGCCAGCTTCTCTATTTATGTCTGAGAGGATTTAAAAACATGACAGTTCGTTCCAACAACTTGTCTTGCGTTTGTCTCCAACCTTGGACCAACTTACACTTGCTCATTTCAGACAGAAAATCAGAAAATGCATAATTCGTTTGTAACACATTCTAACTTGATTTCTACTTTGAATGAGGATTAAAAATTCATTAATACTGTTTCACAGTTGATTTAAAATGAGTGGTTCACTTCACATTTAAAAATGGTTTGAACTAAACACACTTTGATTATCAAGAAAATAGTAATGATAATAAAAAGAGAGTGTTCTTTCAATTGATCAGTGCAGGACACTTAGAAAGTCTCTGGATGAACTTAATCTTGTGTTTCTGGACTCAAATCAATGAAATACAATTCTTGTCCCAGGAAGGCCCTCAAGGCCAGATTTGACCTGAGGCTTAGTTCACTACACTCTTTATGATTGTCTGTTGTCGTCGCTGTTGTCCATTGTTGTCATCACTCTTTGTAAATGAGTACTCGAGGCTCAATGGGATTTACCAGTCTAAATAAAGGTTGAATGAATTAATCTACACCTGAGTGTAGCTGCTGTGACCAACATCTATGTTGGGAAGAGACACAGTTGAATTCAGTTCTAATATCACTGTATTGAATGAGGCAGGCGGATATTTCACACGTCACGCTGCACTATAACACACTAAATGTGCATATAATAACAGTTTAACAATAGTAAACAGTATTAATGTTAGCGTGGGAGATGCACTACATTGCCAAAAGTATTTGCTCATCCATCCAAATGATCTGAATCAGGTGTTCCAAACT